ATCCCTAACTCAAATAGTCAACTTTCCGACTCGTTTTCCAGACAACCCGAATCATTTACCTTCTCTACTCGACTTATGTCTTGTTTCTGATCCTAGTCAGTGCTCAGTTTCTTCACACTCACCCTTAGGTGCGTTTGATCATGGTTTGGTCTCTCTAAAACTATTATGTCATTCTTCTTTACCATCAGAATCCCCCTATCATCGTACATCTTACAACTACCTTAAAGCTGACTGGGACTCTTTCCGTGATTGTCTTCGTGATGGCACCTGGGTAGAAATCTTTCGTCTCCCTGTTGTGCTTCTTACATAACTTCGTGGATTCAGGCTGGCATGGAATTCTTTATTCCCTCTTGACGATTTCAGGTCAAGCCTCACTCTTCTCCATGGTTTTCCTCACATTGTGCTGCTGCAATTGCCAATCGAAACCATTACTTCCATATCTATCAGCAAAACAATTCTCCAGTAAACAGACGTCTGTTTATAACTGCTAGGAACCATCGTAAAAAAGTTTTATCTAACGCCAAAGCCCGCTATTCCCAGATCATAAAATCTCGTATTTCATCACAAAAATTAGGCTCTCGTGACTTCTGGAGAATCTTTAATAGTATCAATAATAAGGGCAAGTCTGTAATTCCACCTCTTTTATATGGTTCAGACTTTGTCACCTCATCTAAAGACAAAGCTGAATTGTTTGCCAAGAACTTTTCATCAATATCATCTATTGATGCCACTAGTTGCGTTCTACCTGATATAGCCGTCAAAGAGGTTGATCTATTGCTCGACATTCGTATCACTCCAGCCTCTGTATCTAGAGTGATTTCCCGCTTAGACTCTTCTACAGCTTGCGGCCCGGACAACCGGAGCTGTCCTCTATCCTTTCAAAACTATTTAACAAGTGCTTATCAGAGTCTTGTTTTCCAGCCTGCTGGAAAGCAGCATCTGTTATTCCTATTTTTAAAAATTCTGGAGAGCGATCTGATTCATTTAACTACCGTCCCATTAGTCTTCTTCCTATCATAAGCAAGGTTTTTGAATCTTTAATTAACAAACACTTAATCTCTCATCTCGAATCTCATAACCTACTTTCTGATCATCAATATGGGTTTCGATCTTCTCGTTCTATGGCTGATTTGCTATCAGTAATAACCGATAGGTTTTATCGCGCATTAGATAAAGGTGGAGAGGATAAGGCCATCGCTCTTGACATTTCTAAAGCGTTTGATAAAGTTTAGCATACTGATCTTCTCCATAAGCTTTCTTCTTACGGTGTATCTGGAAACATCTTTAAGATTATTGAATCCTTTCTTTCCAATCGTAGTATAAAAGTTGTCTTTGATGGACAGCACTCTTCTTCTTATTCTGTAACCTCAGGGGTTCCTCAAGGTTTAATCCGTGACCCTATACTCTTTTTAATATACATTAACGATCTTCCAGATATTCTTACATCTAAGGTGGCATTGTTCGCTGTTGATACTACCATTTATTCTTGTCACGATAAGAAGCCAACTCCCTCTGATTGCTTGCAGGGGGCATTTGAGCTTGAAAAGGGTCTCACTTCTGCTACAGCATGGGGCTCATAGTGGCTGGTGAACTTTAATTCAGATAAAACTGAATTTTTTTCGGCCAATCGTTATTGCAATAATTTAGACCTTCCTATATTTATGAACGGTAATGTACTCGATGAGTCTCCTACCCTTCATCTTCTAGGTGAACTCTTACTTCATCTTCTAGGTGAACTCTTACTTACTAACTAGGTTAACTCTTACTTCTGATCTTTCTTGGAAAACTTATATCAAATCCGTTGCAAAATTAGCATCTGCTAAAGTTGCTTCTCTTTATCGAGCTCGTCACTTTTTTACTCTGGATTCTATTTTCTCTATAAATCTCAAATCCGACCTTGTATGGAATACTGTTGCCATATCTGGGGCGGATCTTCTAATGATGCCCTTTCTCTTTTAGACAAGGTGCAAAAACGCATTGTAAACATAGTTGGACCTGCTCTTGCAGCCAACCTTCAATCTCTGTCACATCGTCGTAATGTTGCTTCTCTTTCTCTTTACTACAAATACTATAATGGGCACTGCTCTAAAGAGCTAGCGTCTCTTGTGCCATCTACTAAAATTCATTCTCGTGTTACTCGTCATTCAATTAAGTCTCATCCTTTTTCTGTTACTGTTCCTAAGTGCTCCAAAAACTCTTATTCGTCTAGTTTTTTTCCTCGAACATCAGTTTTTTGGAATTCGCTTCCTTCATCTTGCTTCCCTGATTCATATAATTTGCAATCTCTAGTCGTCTGTCAATCTTTATCTTGCTCTACAATCTTCATCTTTTCTCTTCCAGTAACTTCCAACACTAATTAGTGGTTGCTTGCAGCCTTGTTGGAAGCGAAGATAAATAAAAAAATAATAATAATAATTATAACTTGCATTGGTAAAAATATTGATAACTTGCATTTTGTAATATCTACTCCAATATCTGTCCGCTTACTTTAAGCTATCTTTCTAACTCTACTTCTTCCTACTTTCACTCTGATTCCTTCATTTTTCTTAAAATCACTTACACTTGGTCTGCAAAGCTGGTTATGATGATTTTTAGTGAGCTGAACTCGTCTTTGCGGGCTTTTGTAATGTGGCCTCTGTATGGCAACTAGCCGGAGGAGGATAAACCACAATACCTATATGTATTTATATATATATATATATATATATATATATATATATATATATATATATATATATATATATATATATATATATATATATATGTTTATATATATATATATATATATATATATATATATATATATATATATATATATATATATATATATATATATATATATATGTTTATATATATATATATATATATATATATATATATATATATATATATATATATATATATATATATATATGTATATATATATATATATATATATATATATATATATATATATTTATATATATATATATATATATACAGGGGTGGACTCAGGTTTTAAATTTACCCCGTCAAAAAAAAGCGCCTTACGCCATGTTGTAAGTGACGCATCTACGCCCACAAGGCAAATAAAAAAAAAGGAGGAGGCTGGAGCAAGGGCGGATTCGGACCATGAAGTAAAGGTGAAAAGGGGCAATTTTTATGATTTCGACTATCCAGACCAACGATTTATAGGTTTAATGATTTTTTAAGCAGGCAAGCACAAAAAATAGAATTTGCACCACACAATTTTATCCGAACTTGATACCACATATCACAAGCTGTATAGTACAATTCCTGTATCTTCACAATACTTAGATGCATCATAGCTCAGGTGACTGGAATGTTCATCAACTAAAAGTATAACTTTTTCATTATTGTCTTTTATGTTAAGCAAGTCTTTACCAACCAAATACATTTTGAACTCTTTTAAATCATAAAGGAAAGTTTCCCCCTTCATCCATCCACTAGAGCTTCTCTGAACTATTATTCCAAGTGGAGCACATTGCTAAAGATTTTTAGATAATTTCTGCCTCTTTAAAATTACTATAGGAGGAGCCATTTCTCCTCCGGCCAAAAAATTGATTGCAACTGTGACTTTCTTTTTCACTAGTAGTGCAAACCTGTTGCAGGAACTAATGTTTTCTACCAATGAATTTACATTTGTTTGAGAAATAAAAAGTAGTTTTATCTAAATTAAAAACGCGTTTTTAATTTAGATAAAACTAATTTAGATAAAACTGCTTTTAAATTTTTCAAAATTTCTATACCATGCCAATAAGGACTCTTTGGTGACACTAGACCGACCTAAAGAGTGATGTTCAAATGTTTTAGACTTTAAGTCAGGGTACCTGTTTAGATATCAGGGTACCTGTTTAGAAATTTTTAAAAAACATTTCATATTACCTTTGGTTCCATTTTAGACTTCTGATTATAATTAACAAATCATGGAATCAAAATAATGTTCTTGATTTCTTCGGAAACGAAAACCGGATCGAAGTTAACATTGGCGCCAAATTATTGCGTTTTTTTTTTACTTATATTAAAATTGTTATGAAAGAATAGACAACCAGCAAAAATATTTTACTCAAATAGTAGACGATAGATCTGTTTATACGGTGATGTTTTTTTACTTTTCAACTAGAAATAGCTATACATTTTTTAAAACAAAATAAAAAGTGCCAATAATTGAGTCATGCCAATAACTGTGACACTACCATAGTTGATTTCGCAATTTGTGGAACCTCAAAAGACACATGAACAAGTATCACAATTAGTCAGATCGCGAGAAAGAAGTTTGTGTCCTTGTCACTAATTGCAACACTTTATGTAGTAATGATGATGATTTTAATTATGGAAGAAAGATCAAAATAAGCGGTACAAGCTTTCAGACATTCATCATGAGGCAGTTTCTTTAGTATCTTCTCTGAGATCAAACAGTGGTTTGCCACATAATATAATCTCATGTGTCATTCCATCCTTTAATCACATGGCTGACTGTTTATCAGATTATTTAAATGAACAAGTTCAGGAGTTGTTAAAGTGTGTGCCTAATATTCATCAAGATGTTGTAAATAATATTAAAGAAGTATTTACCGAGGTTCGAAAACCTCTCGATTTTCTTTCTACAAAATACAAGCAAGATAAATATTTTGATGAGCATCCCTTTTTTGTTAATTCTGAAACACTTCCAATTGGTTCTAGGTATGAAGTTAAAAATAGACTCAATAAATTAATCTATGACACCTATGAATATGTGTCAATTGAAAACAATTTTTGTAGCTTATTTAGTAGTGAAGAATTTGTAGAATTGATGTTTGGTAATCAAGTTGAAGATGATGATTTAATTGGCTGTTTTCAAGATGGAAAACGCTGTAAAAAGCATTATTTATTTAGTGACAATAATAAATTTTCTATCATGATTCAACTATTCTATGATGGTATGGGTACAACAAATCCACTTCGTGGAAATGCATCAACCAGCAATGTTGCAGTTTTTTATTATACAATCCAAAATTTACCTCCGAGCCATAACTCTTGTTATGCTAATATACATCTATTGGCGCTTCGTTATACTCAAGATTTGAAAGTTTATAGCTACAAAAATATTTTAGAACACTTTGTAAGTGAAATGCAAAAACTACAATCCGTTGGCTTTTGTAAGGACTTTCCGAAAATTGATTCTAAACAGATTTATGTTGGTCTTTGTCAGATGTCTTGCGATAATCTTGCTCTCAATGGGTTGTTTGGTTTCATTAAATGCTTTTCAGCAGATTTTTTTTGCACTCTATGTTTGGCAACCAAAAAAACAATTCAAATTAAAACATATGAGTTTTGAAATGAGAACAATAGCTTCTTATAATGATGATCTGAAAGCATTAGAAACCCTTGCTTTAGGAACTCATATACATGGTGTCAAAGCAACTTGCTCCTTAAATAAAATTCCTGGTTTTCATGTTGTTGAAAATTTTGTTCTTGACCCAATGCATACACTACTAGAAGGTGTTGAATTTGGTTGCATTCTTTTGAACTTGGTTGCATTCTTTTGAGCTTGGTTGCATTCTTTTGAACTTGGTTGCATTCTTTTGAACTTGGTTGCATCCTTTTGAACTTGGTTGCATTCTTTACCATTTGATCAAAATCAAACATTTCTCATTATCAGTTTTAAATACTTGCATGCATCAATTTTTTGATCGTAATTCAGTTGAAAAATCTAAACAACCACCCAAAATATGCCAAGTTGAGAAACCAGGGAGAGGTCTTTCACCTTCAATGAAGGCGATTCAAATGTGGTCTTTGCTTAAGTATTTGCCTATGATTGTTGGTCAATTTGTACATGAAGATGATGGTTGCTGGATTTTTTTGTTAAATTTATAGATTGTAGATTTAAGATATGCTCCTAAATTTACCAAAGGAATGATAGCATATTTAAGAGTCTTTATATCTGATCATCTATCGGATTTTAAGAATCTGTTTGGACAAGTAGCAAAGTTGCGTCCCAAACATCACTTTCTGGTCCACTTTCCTACAATTATTATAAAACACTGACCTCTTGGTGGAATGAGTTGTCTTCGATATGAGATGAAAAATTCATTTTTAAAAAGATCTGCAAATGTAATTTGCAACTTTGTTAATATTTGCAAGACTCTGGCTTATCGCCATCAGTGTAACTCCTTTTACTCTCGCTTTTCATAGCAATATTTGAAAATTTTTATCACTGTAGGTAATAAATCTGAATTTATGACTGCAAGTTTTGCTGGTACTTACCATGAGTGTATTTAAATTGCATTAAACTTGGTATAGAATATACAGAAGTTATTTGCTTAGCTTTGAAAATGAATGTGGATTCTATTTTATATCGCAAAGGCCATTGTTTTGTGATTAGTCGCAGAATAAATGGTGATCCAGTATTTGGAGAAGCGGTAGCATTTGTAAGTTTACCTTATATTGATAAATGGTACATTGTGCTGCATTTATGCATTACGGAATATTTTTGTAGCCATTTTCATGCTTATGTCATATCTCAGAGTTTGCCTGCAGAATTTATATGTATATCCATTGACAGCTTGTGTGACCATAATCCCCTTTTTAATTATTTGCAACCTGGTAAAGATAACATAAATCTTATTCGACTTCCTTCCATATTGTGTTAAAGGCTGTGTTAACTGTCAATTTAATTATTAATTTTTAAAATTAATATAAAAATCTTTTTAAATTTTTGTTGTTGTTATTAGATATGTGATATTAGTATTCTCTGATTAATTTTGTTTAATTTTTACTAAAAGCAAAAAAACAATTTTGTTTTAAATTTATTATTTTAATACTGTCATACATTGAATATTGTACAGTATTAATTATTATTAGTATCATTTACAGTGTTTTTGTTTGATATCAAAAAACATAAAATGTTTTGTAAATTGAAATGTTTTTATTAATAATTTTGTTATTTTTAGTTGAGTTTCTTTTTCAAAAAAAAAAGGATGTTCTTTTTAAGCATTTATCTGGTATCGTGAAAGGAGATCTATCAAATAAAATTATGTGTAGAATTCATGGTATATTGTTTCAATATAGTTTCTTCTTTTTATGTTAGTTAGAATATTCTTAACTTATTTAATATTAATCATAGTTATAGTTTAATTGGACCAACTAAATATTACTAATTATTTAAATGAATAATTATTTTACTATTTTTAAGTAACTTAAACTATCTATTTCATTACTTTTTGCTAACATCACTTTTTATTAATATAAAAAGAACGCGGAGACTCGTAGAAGACTATTTGGTCTTGTCACCAAGAACCGCTCGTAAATTAAAACTTCATAAAATTCAATATATATATATATAAAATCAAGTGCATATATAGTTAATCACATTTAAGTGCATCTTTTTATAAATATTCAACTGAATAAACTAAAACAATACATCAAACGTTTAAAAATATGACAATATATCATCACGAGACAAAATGGTTTCTTTAAGCTTATTTCTAAATGAAAAATAACTCCATTGCAGTGAAAAATTAAAATGTTTTAAAACTATTTTGTTCCTCGAAAAGAAATACTAGAAAAAAGAAAATCTCCTCGAAAAGAAATACTAGATTTTCCAAAATTAGTCTGAAAAAATGGTTGACGAATTAAATTATAATTTCTTAAATTGTATTTATTTTTATATTTCAGTATAAATGATGGAAAGAAACTGGAGAAGAGTTAGTTTCACATTTATACATAAAAAAAAGAATATTAAAAACATTCAGCTAATATATATTAAGAACTTTAATTTCAAATAAAAGAGGCTTGGCATGAGTAAATCTGTTTTTAAAATTAATAAGACGAGCAACATGCTTCTGTTGACGATAAAGAGGCTCCAGTTTACATTTATTGGCATTGCACCAAGCAATATTTGCATAGTTTAAATGACAATGGATAAAAGAGAAATATAATTTAATTAGACTACGTTTATTTAACACACCTCTAGCTTTATACAATATTCCTATACTTTTAGCAATTTTATTACACAAGAATTCTGTGGTGTTTCCAACTAAGGTTTTCATCAACATAGATACCCAAAAAATTAGCACTAATTACTCTTTTTATTTGGATTTCATCAACAAAAAGTAAAGGTAGCTCACAAGAAAGTAGTTTTTTTTAGATGCTGGATGAAAAAGTGTTCATTTTGTTTTTTCAACATTTATTGAAAGTTTATTCATTTTAAACCAATCAGATATTTTTGTTAATTCCATGTTCATATCTCGAAATAATGTAGTTATGCTATTATCAGACAAAAAGAGGTTAGTGTCATCGGCAAACATGACTGACATCAAATTAGAAACTTTATGAAGATCATTAATATAAATAAGAAAGAGAAGGGGTCCTAATATCGAACCTTGCGGAACCCCACAGGTTATGTTTAATAAATTAGACGGGTTAATTTCATTACTATAAACAAACTGTTTGTGGTTACTTAAGTAACTTTGAAGTAACTTTAAAACATTTCCTTTAATTCCATAATATTTATTTTTTTTAAGGAGAATTTGGTGATCAATTGTATCAAAAGCTTTTGATAAATTTATGAAAACTCCCAACGTATATTGAGAATTTTCAAACGATTCAGAAATACTACGAGTTATACGGAGTATCGCGTGTTCTGATGTATTTTTTTTGAACCCGTATTGATTAGTATAAAGTATATTATTTAAAGAAAGGTGATTATATAGAATTCTCTCTAACACTTTAGAAAAAACAGGTAAAACAGAGATTGAGCGATAATTTGTAAGATTTGTAGTATCACCTTCTTTGAAAATTGGTGTGACTTTGGCTATTTTAAGATGGCCTGGAAATATTCCCTGTTTTATTGAACATTGAAAAACTTTAAATTGTACATCTTTTAAATGTTTAAACGAGTCAATGACCACATTACTAAATACATCGTCGTGACCGACAGATTTATTAGACTTTAGCATTTTAAAAGATTGCTCAAATTCTTCAAAAGATAATTCAAAAGAAGTTAGAGACGAAGTTAACGGAAAATCGAAGTTATCCATTTTATTTATCACAAAAGGAATATTTTTTGCAAGATTTGGGCCAACTGACACAAAGAATTTAATTCATCACATACCATTGTTGAATTGGACAAAAATTCATCATTAATTTTTAAGATTACAGCCAGTGCGCATGTTTTTATTTTTTGCATGCCAGTAACTTCTCTTAGAATTTCCCAGGTGCGTTTAGAATTATGTTTGTTCATTTCAAGTAGATTGGAGTAGTACAATTTTTTAAAATTCTTTCTTTGTGTTTCAAACTTTCTGACATAATTTTTGTAAAGAATCTTACTTTCTTGTGATTTTGTTTTCAAGTATTTAATATGTAATTTTGGCCTTATTTTATAAGATTTTCTGAGATTTTTTGTGATCCACGGTGATATTAAACCTCTAAATTTTTTAATTACAAAAATTTAGAGGTTTAATATATATATTTTTTAATCATAAAAAGTTTTAAAGAATGCGTCATAAGCTACATTAGCGTCAGCAAAAGAATTTACATTTTTCCAATGCAGTAGGGATAACTGTTCTTTAAATGAATTTAAATTCGCTAAAGTAAAAAAGCATTTTGTAAACGTTACATTCTGATGGGGTATTTTTGCTGTGGCAATGTTAATTGAGAAAAAAATTGGGAAGTGATCAGAGATGTCACATTTAATAATACCATTTTAAGAGATTTATTAAAAATATCAGTTGAAATAATATTGTCTATTTAGGTAACTGATGTCTCTAATTTTTTATTAGAGACATCAGATATTATAAAATATTTAATCACACAATTGGTTTGGTATTGAAAACAATCCAAATTAATGTCACCTAATAGGTTGTATAATTTCTTTTCTTGAGTGCTAATTTTTAAAATATCATTTAAAAATAAACTGAATTTTTTAATTTGGCCACAAGGTGGGCGATAGCAACAACTTATAATTATATTTTTGTTTTTTTTGTTTTAATTTCAACTGTTAAAACCTCTTTATCGTCATCAGAATTACTCATGTCAGGCCTAATTAAATAGCTCAAACATTCTTTAATATAAATTATTACACCACCGCCTCGCTTTTTATTATGACGCTCTAAATTAATTATTTTGAAACCTAGTAAACAGTAATTTGAGTTAGAATTTAAGACTTCCGAGCTACACCAGGTTTCAGACATGCAAGTTAAACTAAAAATACAAGGGATTCTTTTATATTTGTACAAAAGTTTTCAAAATTTTTTGTTAAGCTTCTTATATTAGCATGTAAAATGTTAAAATTATTTGAAATAAGAAATTCTTCAATCTCATTAAAATAGTAATACAAGCAGTTGCTTTCTATTGTACATGCTTCGAGAAAATAATTGTGGACCGGGTAATAAATAATTATGGACCGGCTCCGATTTGAAGTTGTCTAACAATCCATCAGTTTTAAAAAAATCAAAAGAGTTTAAAACCGAATTTTTTGAGTTATTCGAATCCATTTTTATTTTATTTGTAGTTATTGTTTGATAAATAAAAGAATTTCTTTTAAAAATACCGTGTTACTAGTTTATTATAAAAAAATTCCGCCTGCTTCTGTCTTCAAGCTCTGCTATTTTATCTGCATGGTTTCTGTTATATTGTTTTCAAGAATACTTGGGTTCGTGCGTTCGTTTTTAGACTTTACTTCGGCAAGCTCAACTAAAACTTTGTCATATTTATTGCTTACAAAACCGATACTTTTTTCAAAATTGTTTAATTCAATTTTAAGAATATTGTTTTCATTACTTAAAGTATTAACTTTATTCTCCAACCTATCAATTTTATCAGTAAAAATTTTTAAGATGGTACTATCATGAAGTTCTAAAACCTCTTTTACTTGAGCAATTATGCGGTAGTGGTGTAGTGGTAAGAGCGCTCGCTTTGAAAGCGAGAGGTTGGGAGTTTGACTCCCACCACGTCCCTGGAAGTCAACTTAATTTCTCCATGCAAGGTTCGTGTTTCGGAGTTAAAGAGTTGAGAGAGGGTTGTACCACGATTTACAACAAAAAATAAAATAAAACAAAAAATAAAAATGAGTAGCCTCCTCGACTGTAGTGGCTTTCTCGGGCCTTGGGGAGGTAATTAAAATAAAATAAAAAATTTTAAATTTTTTTGCCATTTTGACTTTCTTGTTTTGCAGCTAAAACACGTCCGTTCGCGGTGAAGACTATTAAGTATTGAATAATAATAACATAAATAATAACCGTAATTGACAAACTTTTTTATGAACCTTGGCTTATAGAAAAGGGATTGACTCTTGATTCCTTTGTTTTGCTTAATAAAGAAGATCTTAGAGAACTGGGTTTAAAGATGGGTGAGCGAAAGCTTTTGATGTCTTGGATAAAATCAAGTGGTAAAATAAATAATTATAATTAATGCTTTAAAATAATTTATATAATAACTAAAATAAGTTTGTTTAAGTTTAAGTTAACAAAAGTACTTCTTTGCAGTTTGATAGATAAAAATTTGGATTTTAGCCTATAATTTATTTGGTAGAACTATAATTTTAGTAAAAATCTGCTTCCGAATTATCTTCGCCAGAACTGGTTAAAATAATAAGTTTTTAAACACTCTAATTTTTGTAAGTTTTAGGTTGTCATTTTTTCATTTTAGTAAACTCACAATCTTCAACAGAATGTACATCAATGATGGATTCAACATCAGTATCAACTCCAGCTGCAATAATGCTACAACTACCTGCCCGTGATGTAGTAAATGTAGAGTCACTGGTAATGTAAAAAAATAGTATAAAAAAGTGCATTTATGAACTATTAGTATAATTATATAGAAAACTAACTCATTAGTAACAATTTTGTGCAGGTTTATGCACTTGAGCAGATATTATGTAACTATACAAAGGGAGGATCTAAAATAGTTGAAAAACTGAAACAAGGCATCTACTACACAAGATCAGAACGTGTTTTAATATTTAAAGTCCTTCGGAAACATCTGATGAAAAACTGTTTAATGTGAGTGCCATAGTGCAAAATTTTTATCATTTTTTGTTTGATCTTTGTAACTTTATTTTTTAGTTTAGAAATTTTTCAAACTGCAACATTTTAATTTTTTTACCCAATTCTCTTTAGTCAAAATGATCCTAGTTCAAAAGAAATGACAATTTTGGCAAAGAGTATTGTCGTGGAATTTCCAGTCCTTTTTTCCACACCAAATAGATATGTAAACATTAATTAGTTGTGCATTTTCAAATGCTATACAATTGTAAGACTATGCATAATCTAGCTCTTTTTTTTTAAAGAAAGAGATTTACTGTGCAAAGGGTGCCACTGGTTATCTTGCCTAATATGTACGGCAAAACGTCACAGAGACCCATTTATTAAGAAGCATTTGACTTGGCGAAAAAATAGTTTTTTTTTTTTTAACAAAAATCTTAGCTACTTTTTTGTTACCAAGATGTGTATGTATGATTTTTTTAAACTTTAGTAGAGTCAGCAATCCATTACCAAACATTAAAGATGATGGCGTCGGCTTCGAGAAATTAGGCCGACGGCAACAAACCTATCTGAGTTAGTGCAGCTCATGCATAACACTAGAGAGAATAGACGATCTTGGATCAATACTTGCAATCCTGATGCCACTAGTATTTTAAACAGATTCCCTCGTTCGTTTGATGTAAACGAGTTAGTATGCTTTTGTTTTTTCAATAAGTTCATAAATAAAAAGTATTTTAAAAAATATAATAAAAAAAAATATTATCATATGCAACTTAGTGGAACAAAATAAAAATTATCCTATAAACATATATTCCGCGAAATAATTGTTAGGTTATCCTAATATTGTTACAGTTTAATATAATGGATGGATTAGAATAAGTTTTAACGAATTTTTACTGATAATAAAATTTCATAAACTATTCAAGAAATTTTGCAAATATAACAATATTTTGCACACAAAAAAACAAAAAAAAAACGGTATACTGTTATTATCATTCTGTTATTTTTAGATAAGCCAGGAGTTTGCAGCGATTGCAAGCGAATTTCTTACTCTGCGAGTTGCTATTTTATCTTTTCGTCAAAAGATACTCTGAAAAGCTAAAAGATACTTGTATACAAGGCCGGCGCGATAGGGGTGTGTGACAGCCCCCACCCACCCCCCATCAATGATGGACCCTTAGTCGGCAAATTGGACCCTTTGTCGGCAAATTGGACCTAGTTAGTCGGCAAAAGTGGAACCTTTCGATATAGGTTAGACAGTAGGCAAATTTTGGAAAAGAGGCCTTTTTTTTTTTTTTTTTTAATTTTTAGTTGGCAAAAATTGTAATGGCACCCCCCCCCCCCCACGTGACACCTACTCGCGCCGGCCCTACTTGTATACTCTGAAAAACTTAAAGATAACTCTACTATGTAACAAATGTTCAGAGCGTACCAATCAGATGAATTTGATGTAGGTTAGCAACTTTCAGGATTTTCAAAACTATTCCTAATTATTAAATAAATTAAAAATTACTTAATTAGACAAAAAGACTGAGTTATCTTTATTGCTGTTGCCTCACATATTGATTCCGCCACCGCAACGAGGCCTAAAAGCTCCTAGAGTCTAGAGGGATGTAGTTTCTAATCTGATGTTTGTGGATATGAACGAGGTAAGTTTAGATTATTTCTAAAAACAGTTCAATCATTCAAAAGTCACGCAATTATTTTCAAAATGTCTTATAAATTGTAAATCTATATTAATTTTTATTCATACAGGAACAGATGAGTGTCCCTGAAGCAGTTGCTTCTCTGCAAAAAAACGTATGGGCAGGTATAGACAACCTCCCGCCAATACTTTTTCGTCTTGATAAGATTTATTACATCAAGTTGGATGATCGGGCCATCGAACTTCGTGATGCAGCTTGTTTTTGTGATGCGATGGAGTTTTTGTCGAAGTGTTTTTATATATTTAATTTAACTTATCCACACGAAAGAAAGCCAGTTTATGATCTGCTTGAGCATCTCACTCACATTAATGTTTTGATCGGAAAAAGTGCCGCTTTACCAGACTTCTTGGGAGCAATGACTTAAAAGTTGCACAAAAAAACTAAAAACAATTAATTTTTTTATTTTAGTAGAAAAAACTTTATTAAATTTTGTAGTTATTTTTTGCTTTTATTTTAATCTTAAGCATTATTACTTTGAAATAATATTAATAAGACTATCGAAATACAAACCAAAAATTCCACAGCTACACTTATGACATGGAATGACTCCTTGTTCGTATACGCAATTATTAAATTCATTCTTTTCATTAAAATTCAATTTTGAGTTGATTTGATAGAAGTATTAGGCGCGCAGTCCTTAAAATGCAGAATTTGAAGAAGAAAAAAACCTTTACAACACAGTCCTCGCTAAAGTAAGGTTTCTCAATATTTGTGTTGTAAAAAAAGCAGCATTAAATGTTGCGTTAAATTACGCAACATTTAATGTAGAAAATTGTCAACACTAATGTTTGGGAGTCAAATACCAAAATTGAATGTTGCGAGGTAATCAACATTTTTTTTGCGTCTTCGCAACATCTGTTTTTTGTGTAAGCACTTACAAATACTCTGCTGATCAAAAACGAAAAAAAAAGGAGCAAAAATGCCAACATGATGATTTGATGTACGTTTATTGAGGCATAAAACATTACTGAAATAGAGGAAAAATGATTGCTGAGTTTGAATGTCATCATGAATTGACTTTTAATTGAGTTTGAAAGGCGAAAGTAAGCTCTACTTTTTTTTTTGGATTTCTTGTCCATCTTCCAGTTATTTAATTTGTTGCAACCACATTGCACGCCATAGAGCTTTTAAAGGTGTGGGAATTTATTTTCTAAATGAATGTCTGCATCTCAAGAGCTTTGTTTCCACTTTAATTGATATTGGTACCAGTGACCAAATAGATTGGTATCTACATTTCCTAGTTTATGTATGGATTTTAGTGTGTGATTGTGCGGATGGAGAAAGAAAAGCTGGAGAGGCTACAACCATTATTTCGCTGGGGGGCCAATATGACCCTAATACGGGCATGTTCTTATCAAATAATATGTTCTGTTATCATATACAATGTGATAATAAAAACTGTTTTATGTAGGATTTTAATAAGTATAATTTGAAAGAAAATTTTTGTAATTATGTCAAAAGAAATGGCTCAGGCAGCTTTTGCTTTAGGCTATCGATATATTTTCTATTTATAAAAAAAATTCAAAAACTTTAACCACTTTTTATTTTAAAATAATAATAAAAAAATAAAAATAAATAATTAAAAAAATGAAGCGTCAGAATAATTACTTTTTTAATTGTTTTCAAAATAAAAGTCAAAGAAGAAAAAATTACTGAAAATTATCTAATCATCTAAGAAACCATGGTAACGTTTTTGTTCATCAGAAACTTCGTTATCCGCTGCATTGGTCACTACGTAAGTGTTGTCCACAATCTAAAGTTATTTTTATATTTGAACGAGAATTATTATGAAAAACTTAATTTCATTCAATTTATTTAAAAAGTAAAAATCAAAACCTCTGGATGTTGCACATCATACGAAACTGGATTCATTTTTTTGGCACAAGGGATCCACGAGAAATCAAACAGCTGATTGTATATTGCAGTTCCGAACAAAAGCAGTAAAAACCCGTCAACTAAGCAAGTGAATAAATTATATATTTTAACGTTTAATTTCAACACTAAAAGTAAATTGCTTTTAAGTTTAATGTTTACACTAAGAATTTCATTATACCTTTCATTTTATTATACATTTCATTTCATTATAATAAAGAATTTTAAAAAACCAAAACATTCAACTTACTCTGAATTAAGCCGTATTGTTTGTCAAATGGCTCGCCATAATTCTAAACGTATATAGGTAAGTCTTTAAAGCAGGATAAAAATAGATAATGAAATAAATAAAATCTCGTAAATATCAATAAGTATTTTTAGATAAAGCGAGCTTAAGCATTTTTTAATATATATTCAAATTAAATATTTAAATTTATTTGAAATAAGTTGTAGCCAAAGCAACAAAATAAAAAGCTTGAACGTGATCAAAACTGACCCCATTTCCATAATGTAGGATAAGGCTGCAAACCCATACCACACACGTGCGACATGCATCTAACAAAGTTCGATGTACAGCTGAAAAAAATAACAAAAGAATGACATAAAAAATTTTAACATCATGATAACTACTAATTAAACTATTTGAAAGCATAATTTTTAATTTACCTGTCATAGAACGAGTCACAGATAATCCAAAGAAATTGTAAAATGCAATTGACAACAAATAGACAACTATAAAGGTAATACTAAAATAATATCCAGGTAAAACAAACGAATAATAGAAAAACAAACAAAACAAAAACATTTTGTTTTTTAGTTTCACTTATAGCAATCTGCTAATATTTTAAGGTGGATTTCCCTAATTTTTCTCTAATATTTCCCTGAACCACAACCTGTTCTTCCTGATTTACTTTAAAGTTACCTAAACTTAACTTCAGAAATAGACTTAGATTCTTGTATTTAGAAATAGACTTAGATTCTTGTACTTAGAAATAGACTTATAATTCTTGAGCTTAGAAATAGACTTAGGTTCTTGTACTTAGAAATAGGCTTAGATTCTTTAGAGACTTAGATTCTTGTATAAAATTGCTCTTTAATTGCAAAAATATAAACAATAATACAACTTACATTTAAAGTATCAGCAGAAGTTCATAAAATTATTTAATAAATAAAGTTTTTTATTATGTGTACAATATACAATCTACTTAAGCTATGTAAATTTGATGAAGAACCATTTTCCCTGATTTTTTACTTCCTTGATTCTTTCAACATTTTACCCGATTTCCCTGATTTTTTGGAAGATATCTGAATTCCCTGATTTTTCCCTGATCTGGCAGACACCCTGTATAGGCAGATTTAGTGTTGTAGTTTCATTTTAAAAACCCGTTTAGTGTCTCTACCTGCACATTTCAAAATAAAAGCAAATTAGAAGTAAAAAAAAAGATTGTTATTTATTATAAAAAAAAAAATTTTAAATTAAGAAAATAAAAATTAAGTAGTTTAAGTTACTGTAAATCGAAAAAACTGATGTTTTAAATAAATTTAACAAAATATTGTATTTTAGGAAAACCAAAATTAACAAAGGATACCCCTTAAATTATACATGACAATGAATCAATAAATTATTGTAACTGAAATCAAAAGCAGACAAAAGTTTTTAGTATGAAGAAAAAATAAAAAATTATAAAATCTTGATTTAAACAAAACCTGAAACTTGATTAACGTGACACTGAATTTATATTACAATAGCTTAGTCATATGTAAGCAGATATATATATAAATATATATATATATATATATATATATATATATATATATATATATATATATATATATATATATATATATACACACACACACATATATATATATATATATATATATATATATATATATATATATATATAGCTTTATTTACATTCTTTCACTTTTAGAAAAATATTTTACTTTTTAGTTATGTTATATAAAGTTATTTGGTCTTTTACTGAAAAAACTTTGTCCCACGTTATTCCAACTCCTGTGCGAGCATGGGAAAAAATAGGCTTTTTAGTTTTTAGAAACTATATATACTTCAATATTATTTTTGTAACTAAATTTTTTTTGAACTTTTTGTTTTTTTACTATTGTTTAATATTTCTTAAATTCCCAAAATTTTACGTAAAATATACTCTTCTTTATGATTAGGAAATTTTTCTGCAGCCATTTAAAATAGCTTTTGTCACGCTTCACATATTCAATGCATGAAAAACTAATTCTCATCAATCTGAAATGTGAAACAAATTATTAAATTAAAACCAGTGTTTCACATTAATATTCACCTGATCTTGTTACTGCAATATTTATTTGTATAATCTTTATTGTTATTGTCAACATTTTTACCCTCATTTTATGTAGATGTAATAACAATTATAGTTATGCTTGGAGCTAATTCTATTCTTTGTTTTGAATTGATGTTTCTACCGGTCCCTTTTGAAGACCCTGCTGAGTACTTTTTGACCAATCAAGCAGAGACTAAATCAGTTGCACAGTAATGGTGGGGGGATCGAGATCTTTACAATGTTTACACGATCATTACAGACTTTGTGAAATGTTTGGTATCACAAAATTGCTTTTCTAGGATTCCTTTGAAACCTGTTCAGGTATACAAAGACTACTTTCCATACCTTAACCACCATCAATAAATACTTACCATACCTTAATCACCATTAATAAATTACTTGCCATACCTTAATCACCATCAATAAAAACTTACCATACCTTAATCACCATCAATACCTTAATCACCATTAATACCTTAATCATCATCAATACCTTAATCACCATCAATACCTTAATCACCATCAATTTTTCTCACAGTAATACTGTGAGAAAAACTTGTTTAGAAATATCATTATTTCTTTTTACAAAAGACATCAAAGCGCATAGCCATGCATTTCTTTTTAAAGTGGTCTTTTTGACTTTTTCTAAATTTAACCAAGATTTTTTTTGATTAAAGTCTTTAAGGCAAATAACAAGTTTCTTCATCCAGATTAAAGATAGATTTAAATAGATATAAAGAATCAGCACATACTTTGTCAACTATATGTGCAAGATTATCACATAATTTGGAGTTCGATGTGTCCAATAATGCAAAGGATGTTGAATGTGAATGCACTTCTGAATAAAGACTAGCACAATAGGATAGCTTGTTTTCAAATTATATTTTACAGGTCTCAGATAATCTGATACACCTTTGTTGCATGACATTAACTATGTCATATTTAACAAATTTTGAAATATTTGATTAAAACTAATATGAAAAGTAGCCAATCGTTTTTCTGCTATGAAGATTGAAAGATATTGAGTAGCTAAACTTTGTTGTAATTTTTTTTTGTCTCCACTATTAAACTTTACATATAGCATGCTGTTTTTTTTTTTGTCTCCACCACTAAACTTTACATATAGAATGCTGTTTTTTGTTTGATTCACTATTAAACTTTACATATAGCATGCTGTTTTTTGTTCGTCTCCACTATTAAACTTTACATATTGCACTGCATGTATCATCTTACAGCAAACCACCACTAAGTCCAAGAAACGTTTACAATTATGAATGTTAAGTTTATTTTGTTTGAACTTTTTCTGATAGAACTATCCACTGCCGGATATTTTCCATTTCTTTAAAATACATGATGGTCTTTAAGAATCTTCGAAATTATTTAAACAGAATTTTCTCTTTTTTATCAACAGCACCATGCAATACCATGACAACCATTATTTATAGCTAATGTTTTCATTTTAGGCACTTTTTAGTACCTTTGCCAAGCATATGCACATTCATTCAATATGCACGTGGTGTTTTATTTGTTTTGAAAACGTGCTGTACTTGCAACTGAATATTAAAAATATTTTACATAAAACATCCTTATGATCAACATGATCTTCTGGTATATAGTTTGGATCAAATTTATCAAAAACACAATTCTGGAAGACTAGGAGTGTAGAATTTTACAACTCTTTAAATTGGAATGACACATAACGGTGCCAATAGAAAATATGTTGTTTGTGGTAAACCTTGATGTTATCATTGTTATGGGAACTTATCATGTAGTTGGTACTTTTATTATTTTTTATTTAATCTATAAGTGAATGAATAAATAATTTTATGCTTTTCATTTAATCTATAAGTGAACCTGAAATATACACAAAGTTTTTCATTTTTATTGAAACATCTCATAAAATGTTTTTCATTAGTTTTAGCTCATTCCATTCATGATTTGCTACATGCAGTTTTAAATCTAAAAAATGCACATTTCCATTCAATTGTTCAATAGTAAATAACCCATCAATTACATCCTGTTACCATCTACATAGATCCCAACCGTCTTGTTGATTTAAAGTGAGTTCTTTATAATTTATCATATCAAGCCCTAAAATTAAAAATTAAATAAAACAATCATAAATGAAATTCATTCTTTCCAAAACTATTATTAAAAGATAGTATAAAAAAATTGAAATGAATAAGTGAATTCAAAATTATTTCTTACCAATAGTTATCTTTTCTTTTTTTTTTTTTAACATCTTTGCTTCCAACAAGGCTGCAAGCAACCACTATTAGAGTTGGAAGTTAATTGGAAGAGAAAAGATGAAGATTGTAGAGCAAGATAATGATTGACAGACGACTTAAAAAACTACAAATTATATGAATCAAGAAAGCAAGAAGAAGGAAGCGAATTCCAAAGAACTGATGTTTGAGGAAAAAAATTAGAGGAATAGGAGTATTTGGAGCAGTAACAGAAAAAGGATGAGGCTTAATTAAATGACAAGTAACACAAGAATGAATTTTAGTAAATGGCACAAGAGACGCTAACTCTTTAGAGCAGTGCCCGTTAGAGTATTTGTAGAAAAGAGAAAGAGAAGCAACATTACGACAAGATGATAATGGTTGGAGGTTGGCTGCAAGAGCAGGTCCAACTATGTTTACAATCCTTTTTTGTACCTTGTTTAAAAGAGAAAAGACATCATTAGAAGATCCACCCCAGATATGGCAATAGTATTCAATACAAGGCCAAATTTGAGATTTATAGAAATAAAGAGTAGAATCCAGAATTTTTAAAAATAGGAATAACAGCTGCCGGAAAACACAACTCCGATGAGCACTTGTTATATAGTTTTGAAAGTATACACAAAAGCTCCGGAGAACACTTCTGCAAGACTTTAACAGTTATGTTATCTGGACCACAAGCTGTAGTTTACTTTAGATACAGATGCTGGAGTGATAAGAATGTCAAGCAATGGATCAATCTGTTGCTATATCATAGATGATATTAATGAAAAACTCTTAGCAAACAAATCACCTTTGCCTTTAGGTGAGGTGACAAAGACTGAACCATACAAAAGAGGTGGAATAACAGATTTGCCCTTATTATTGATATTGTTAAAGATTCTCCAGAAGTCACGAAGGTCTAATTTTTGTGATGAAATATGAGATTCCATGACTTGAGAATAGCAGGTTTTGTTGTTAGACAAAACCTTTTTACAATGGTTTCTAGCAGTAATAAACAGATGCTTGTTTTCTGGAGAATTGTTTTGCAGATAGATATGGAAGTAATGGTTTCGATTGGCAATTGCAGCACCGCAATGTGAGGAAAACCATGGAAAAGATTGAGGCTTGACCTGGAATCATCAAGAAGGAATAAAAGATTCCATGACAGCCTGAATCCACAAAGTTATGTAAGAAGCACATTTGTCAG